ATGTGTTACATGTGAAAAGTTGACATTACCTTGCATATATGTTCCATGAGACAAGTTTACATTCCCTTGCATATGTGTTCCATGTGACAAGTTTACATTCCCAAACATATGTGTTACATGTGACAAGTTGACATTCCCGAACACATGTGTTCCATGTGACAAGTTGACATTCCCAAACATATGTGTTACATGTGACAAGTTAACATGCCCAAACATATGTGTTCCATGAGACAAGTTGACATTCCCAAACATATGTGTTACATGTGAAAAGTTGACATTCCCTTGCATATATGTTCCATGAGACAAGTTGACATTCCCTTGCATATGTGTTCCATGAGTCAAGTTGACATTCCCAAACATATGTGTTTACATGTGAAAAGTTGACATTTCCTTGCATATATGGTCCGTGAGACAAGTTTACATTCCCTTGCATATGTCTACCATGAGACAAGTTGACATTCCCAAACATATGTGTTACATGTGAAAAGTTGACATTCCCTAGCAAATGTGTTCCATGTGACAAGTTGACATTCCCTACGATAGGTGTTCTATGTGACAAGTTGACATTCCCTAGCATATGTGTTCCATGAGACAAGTTGACATTCCCTTGCATATGTGTTCCATGAGTCAAGTTGACATTCCCAAACATATGTGTTACATGTGAAAAGTTGACATTACCTTGCATATATGTTCCATGAGACAAGTTTACATTCCCTTACATATGTGTACCATGAGACAAGTTGACATTCCCAAACATATGTGTTACATGTGACAAGTTGACATTCCCAAACATATGTGTTCCATGTGACAAGTTGACATTCCCAAACATATGTGTTCAATGAGACAAGTTGACATTCCCAAACATATTTTACATGAGACAAGTTGACATTCCCCAGCATACGTGTTCCAAGTGACAAGTTGACATTCCCAAACATATATGTTACATGAGACAAGTTGACATTCCCTTGCATATGTGTTCCATGAGTCAAGTTGACATTCCCAAACATATGTGTTACATGTGAAAAGTTGACATTACCTTGCATATGTGTTCCATGAGACAAGTTTACATTCCCTTGCATATGTCTACCATGAGACAAGTTGACATTCCCAAACATATGTGTTTCATGTGACAAGTTGACATTCCCAAACATATGTGTTCAATGAGACAAGTTGACATTCCCAAACATATTTTACATGAGACAAGTTGACATTCCCTTGCATATATGTTCCATGAGACAAGTTGGCATTCCCAAACATATATGTTATATGAGACAAGTTGACATACCCAAACATATGTGTTACTTGAGACAAGTTGACATTCCCAAACATATGTGTTACATGTGACAGGTTGACATTCCCAAACATATGTGTTACATGAGACAAGTTGACATTCCCCAGCATATGTGTTCCTTTTGACAAGTTGACATTTCCTAGTATATGTGTTCGAAGTGACAAGTTGACATTCCCAAACATATGTGTTCCATGAGACAAGTTGACATGCCCAAACATATGTGTTCCATGAGACAAGTTGACATTCCCTAGCATATGTGTCCCATGTGACAAGTTGACATTCCCAAACATATGTGTTCTATGTGACAAGTTGACATTCCCAAACATATGTGTTCCATGTGACAAGTTGACATTCCCAAACATATGTGTTACATGAGACAAGTTGACATTCCCTAGCATATGTGTTCCATGAGACAAGTTGACATTCTCTAACATATGTGTTCCATGAGACAAGTTGACATTCCCAAACATATGTGTTCCATGAGACAAGTTGACATTCCCTAGCATATGTGTTCCATGTGACAAGTTGACATTCCCATACATATGTGTTACATGAGACAAGTTGACATTCCCTAGCATATGTGTTCCATGTGACAATTGACATTCCCTAGCATATGTGTTCCATGAGACAATTGACATTCCCTAGCATATGTGTTCCATGAGACAAGTTGACATTCTCTAACATATGTGTTCCATGAGACAAGTTGACATTCCCAAACATATGTGTTCAATGAGACAAGTTGACATTCCCAAACATATTTTACATGAGACAAGTTGACATTCCCCAGTATACGTGTTCCAAGTGACAAGTTGACATTCCAATACATATATGTTACATGAGACAAGTTGACATTCCCCAGCATATGTGTTCAATGAGACAAGTTGACATTCCCAAACAAATGTGTTACATGTGAAAAGTTGACATTCCCTTGCATATATGTTCCATGAGACAAGTTTACATTCCCTTGCATATGTGTTCCATGTGACAAGTTAACATGCCCAAACATATGTGTTACATGTGAAAAGTTTACATTCCCTTGCATATGTGTTCCATGAGACAAGTTTACATTCCCTAGCATATGTGTTCCATGAGACAAGTTGACATTCTCTAACATATGTGTTCCATGAGACAAGTTGACATTCCCAAACATATGTGTTCCATGAGACAAGTTGACATTCCCTAGCATATGTGTTCCATGTGACAAGTTGACATTCCCATACATATGTGTTTCATGAGACAAGTTGACATTCCCTAGCATATGTGTTCCATGTGACAATTGACATTCCCTAGCATATGTGTTCCATGAGACAAGTTGACATTCTCTAACATATGTGTTCCATGAGACAAGCTGACATTCCCTAGCATATGTGTTACATGAGACAAGTTGACATTCCCAAACATATGTGTAACATGTGACAGGTTGACATCCCCTAGAATATGTGTTACATGAGACAAGTTGACATTCCCTAGCATATGTGTGACATGAAACGAGTTGACATTTCAAACATATGTGTTCCACGAGACAAATTAATTTCCCTAGTATATGTGTTCCATGGGACAAGTTGACATTCCCTAGCATATGTGTTCCATGAGACAAGTTGACATTCCCAAGTATATGTGTTCCATGAGACAAGTTGACATTCCCAAGTATATGTGTTCCATAAGACAAGTTGACATTCCAAAGTATATGTGTTCCATGAGACAAGTTGACATTCCCAAGTATATGTGTTCCATGAGACAAGTTGACATTCCCAAACATATGTGTTCCATGAGACAAGTTGACATTCCCAAGTATATGTGTTCCATGATGAGATTGGAGACACGTTGACTGTTCCCTGACGTTTGGCACACATGGGAGACAGGGTGGCTGTTCCCTGACACAGTGACTGTTCCCCAAAATAGGTTGCACCCGCTGGAGATAAACTAACCGTTGCCTAGCATGTCTTGACCAGGTGGGAAATAATCAACTACATCCATTACTGTAATGAAGGGGAAAACGTGTTGTCGGGAAACATATGATATCCGCCAAATAATTATTACATCATTGACTTCCACGTAATTACTTTATATGCGACTCCATATACAATTGCGTGATGCTGACGCTTCCACTACTGACAGTCTACACAATCAAATATTCATAATATTCTTAATGCATTGTGCAAGTCCGAGTGTGTATCAATTAGGTTCCATGTTGCACAGTATGGCTGCAGCAGTGATGAGACCGACACTCTATGCTAGTGTATACACAACGCCTATAGTCTCATCTCACGGCGACCTCCAATGGGCCAACGGGTGCATCAGCGAGTCACCTCACAACTTCCATTTTCTCACTGCATATTCATTCACGGTTTGGAATCATTTTGTAATAATATACTATTGTTTACTTTACTGGTGTGCGCTGTTTACCCAAAGCAAATTTCTCGTAATTAAATTGTATCACTGTCCAAGTTCGATATTTTGGGATCCTATAACTGCTGTATGAAATTGAGTGCTATCATTTGCTTTAGGTAATGCAGGTTTTCAAGGCTTTTCAGTCATGGGCAGAAATTGATGAGTGAAACAGCTGACTTAATGATAGTCCCCCGTCTGTTAGAGGAGCCGGTACTTATTTCATGGTAATCTCCTTGATCAATGCCCCTATTTGCCTGGCAATGAATATTGCCGACATTATGATTGGGTTCTTGATAGTCATTGGCGCCTATTGGGCACAACAAAAGCGGCGTGCTCCTTCACCAGCAGGCTATGGTGTCAGCAGAGAAAATTTCAGATTCAGAAACACTACTGAGTCTAAAATCATAAATATGTCATTTATGTAGAGTCGTACAAGTTCCATTCAGAAATAAATATTGCATGTTTCCCTGAAATCTCTGACAGTTCATATCAACCTCAAAGGCAGACATATATAACCTTATTCCACAACATTTGGATGTTCCAGCGAATGATCTTGCACTTAAGACTCGGAGTCATCTTATTCTAATGGGCTTGGCTTGATAAACACTTGTATTATGCGGGGTGATATCATACGATGAATTTAAGTGATCGTGTTTTGTTCTCGATGCAGCGCGCACAATTTCTGCAATTCTATCTAATGATTTTTCGCGTGACGTAATATTAATATCGTCGAACAGTTGCATTTGGCGGTGCACGGTTCTGCGATACAGCGATCAGCGGCTGCTAGAGTTATACTTAGCATAATACATAGTAGTGGCAGGGATCCACCTATGCATTTGAATCTAGTTAATGGAACCACGGCCGAATGGTATCGGCTACAGGGATTAGTCAATATTTGCACATTTATGGTAAACAGTATATCAAATATGCACTGGTCTGATTATCGAGACAGTGTTCGCAGCTCTCATTACATCACATTATTACATGAATGCATATTAAAAGCCCAAGTACAGCGTGTGTCGCGGGAACCATGGTGCGGATGGAAGAGCGGAGATGTCAACACCATGTGGTGCTGTCATCTCGCTGTAAGCTCTAGAACGCGACACAGCTAAACAATCAGGAGATAATATGAATGTTTAAAACAGCATAAACACCACGTCTATCGCATACGGTTGGAACTGAAAGCTTGTGTTGATACAACGGTCCTAACAGTCAGACGCCAGATCTCACCCTCGTAATGTTTACAAACGTGAAAATCAATGAATTTGGCATGATTAACACATGACACAATACTGTATGAGGCGTATAGGGAACTCACCATGACAAGCCTATCCAAATTGTCCCATGAATCAGGCCTCTGGTGTTGCAGCAAGCCCGCTACCATCACACATGGCCTGTTGCCGAGGCATGGTACCAATAACTAGGCTAGAAAGAGGCGAAGCGTCAGATCGGCGGACTCGTCTGTAGCGATCGATACAGAATTATGCATGATTTATAGTCATATATAGTTGACAACAACGCATCAGCTGTTGAGGATAGCGAACACTGGCTTTATAAATGCTTGTTTCCAGTGGATACAATCGTTGTTATATTCTCTCTGAGATTACGTTTCACTCTTCTTCGTCTGCTACTGTCGTCTGCTGCTTAGTGTCAACTGCAGAGGGAGCAGACACAAATTGAGTGTCTCGGCGCTCTTCCTCCGCTCTCAACGAAAGTGGGTATTTTTCGAGGCGGTGGCACAACAGCAAACCGAACGGTCCATTTTCTGTCCTCGGTGTGAAGGGACTTCATAGCATCATGTACATGTACAGAATCGATCTGATCACTGTTGGAATGGCTGTGCCGCGGTGGTAATAACTAGATAAACTAGCGCACCATTTCTGTCACAAAGCTCAACCCCCCTGCCTGGCCAGTACTTCCGTACCTGTTGTCAACGCATAGGCTCTCTGCCTACAAGTGCTCTGTCGATTAATCAATTATCGAGAGCGTAGTATTGCCTTCCGATGTATTAATTCTACATGTAAGCGGAACCGTGAGGTTATGGAAAGACTTTTTCCCTATATCGACCGGGCTGTTCAGAGAGTTCTCCGAGCCGCTGTGTTTCACATATTTCTCTTTCGAAGAAATCGATGTCTGCTATTATGAATAGGATCGTTTTCATCCATGGGTTCCTTTGTTGTGTTTGCATTTCTTGGTTATAACGATGTTCATATCAACGATATCTTCCTTGTTGGGGCTAGTCAGCTTTGTTCAGACTCTGATGAATGAAAGATGGTCACATATCTCCGGGCGGGGACCTGGACCTACTTATCATATACAACATCTAGATTCATCCTTGAGGAGTACTTCAGTCCCGATAACACAGGGACGCAGATGGTTGTGCCATGCAGACACCGCGTATGTACAAGAGACACCTAATGCTCTAGTGGACGAAATCATGATGAATCAAAGTGAGAAGGCAACACGTCAAAATGACTTTGTCATAAGACATTTTGTCAGTTCAGTTCGAATACAGGAGGGGGGAAGAGGAACGAGAACGTTCATATGTACAGACTCCGGGGAGCATACGGGCATAATTAATTACAAGAAGTAATATAAGTACCTAATGATGAATACTGGGGTACCAGGGAGAGGATACAGCTTTTTGGAAAAGGATGGGTGAAGTTTAAGATTTGGTCATTCATGTTGGGTGATTGGTACATTGTGTTAAAAATATATAACCAAATTGGTTCGTCATAATGTGTGACACGTAATTTTGTATTCCGCATCACTCATAAAATATTCGATGTATAGATGTTTGTATGCTTCGAAAAATCCCCTGTATCCACGCGTGGATACGTTCGACTCTCATGAGCGGAGGAAAAGGAATGATATAGGCTATGGCAAACACACACGCACAGAGACACTGTACAGGACGAGAGGCAATAGAGTTAAACAAAAACATGTACGTATCCAGACCACAGAGATAACCACATGTACGCTCACAGACATCAGAATTGCAGAGGACAAGCAAAGAAAATAGACTCTTCTACTTAACATGAGTACTATATTATAACAGGATTACATGGATGAGGTTGGTTGGTTGGTTGGTTGGTTGTTTAACGCCGCACTCAGCAATATTCCAGCTATATGACGGCAGTCTGTAAATAATCGAGTCTGGACCAGACAATCCAGTGATTAATATCATGAGCAACGATCTACGCAATTGGGATCGATGACATGCATCAACCAAGTCAGCGAGCCTGACCACCCGATCCCGTTAGTCGCCTTTTACGACAAACATAGTCGCCTTTTACGGCAAGCATGGGTTGCTGAAGACCTATTCTACCCCGGAATCTTCGCGGGTCCTACATGGATGAGATACACATAGAAGACTATATAGACATTCGAGGATACCGTGTGATAAGAGACGGCAAGAAGTGGGAAAGTACGTTTGATGGCGAAAGCCCAACTGTAGACCTTTATCACTCGCAGGGATATGCTGCTGACATACCAATGATTTTAATAGAGGTGATAGGAGATTAGAACCCATGACTAGTGGAATTTTATTAGGCTAGGGAGCCCAAGCTTACCCAGTAAATTACGAAGTCTCACCTCTGTGTGATAATTAAGAGCATTACGCTAAAAAGCGAGATGTCGAATAAAGTTTGATTTTACTCCGCTTGGAGCACTTCTTCAGACATACGAGGCGTGGCTGATGCGTTCGGAACCGAACGATGTTGGACAATTGATGGAGTTGGTGGCTAATAACTTTCAACATAATCTTCTCCGAGGTCCACACAATTCTGCCAACGATGCTGGAGTGACTGTATCCCACTGGTGTAGAAGGCCTTCTTTGGGGTGTGTAAAAAGTCCTCCACAGCAGAAAAGACGTCCACATTTGCATGATTGCCAGGTAGTTCTTACTGACGGTGCCAAATCTGATGTTCAATGAAGTCAAAGAGACATTCAACAGCCATGGCGACAAACGAATTGTGCAAGGTGCGTTGTCCTGTGGAACAATTCGCCTTTGTGGAGTTTTTCAGAACGTTAAGCCTCGAAATTCTCACGCAGTGACGAGCAGATGAGCAAAATATCAGCCTTTAGTGGTCTGACCTTACGGCATGTAGTCCACCAGTAAGAGTCCTTTGAAAACCGAAGCTATCCCCTTGCTAACTGATGGAAGATACTTTGCCTTCTTCATCAGTGGAGACGTCAGATGTTCCCAATGCTTTGAATGTTGTTTAGTATCTGGTTAACAGTGGTGAGCCCAAGATTCCTCCAAGGTTACAAATCGTTTCACAAATTCAGTTGGAGATGATGAACCAGGAGCATTTCTTATCAGGAGCCTTGGAACCAAGCGTGCTGAAACTTTGGTATGCCTAGTTCATACCGCGAATGTTTTCAACTCTTTCATGAGAGATGCCTGCTGCATTAGCTCTGTGACGTGTGTCGTCTATCATCTATAACCATATCATGTATTGTATCAACATTGGCAGTTGAAGGTCTTCCTGAGCTTGGATCATCTTCGAGGCTCCCTCTTCCCCTCGCGAGCTCCCCAGAACAGTGGCAAAGAAAGGGGCATCATCCCCTAAAGTTGACACCATGTTCGCACGAATGGCTGTTGGAGTTGGCCCTTTCAGTTGGAGATACTTGGTGGCAGCGCAACATCGAATGTATCAATTTTCATCAACGGAGAAAACCTGGTCAATTTGATGCATGCAGAAATCTGCTGCCTGGTTGTGTATCTGGTTCAAATTCAGCCTGTAATCTTGGAAAGTGTTGTACTTAATGCATTTAAACTGTTAAGGGTTTAGTATACATCCGTTTCAGTTAGGATTAGAACATTTCAGCCACCCCTCGTATCAAACCCTGTCAGCTGAAGTTTCTAATCTTTAATCACTTTCGTGAAACCATTTAGCACAGGTATGGTGCTGACAAGCCAATGATTATAATCAGGTGGAATCTAGGATTCGTACCTACCAACAGCAGATTCCGATATGGCTAAGGGACGCAACTCGTCACAGCGTCACACCACTGTGCCGCCGTGCACATGATTCCCAGAAGATTACAGCATTACGATAGCAGCCAAGACGTCAAAAGGCTTTTAGAGAAAACAAGTGGGAAATAGAAGTAAGATAGCAAGACACTAAGACAAGAAAACATCATGAGATATAGCGTATGCCTGGTCAGCTACCGTATATCAGATGATGGATAAGGTCCCAATTTGTTACTCAGATCATGCCAACGATAAGTCATGCCAAGAGGTTGATTGATAACGCACGTAAGTACTAACGAAGACCTCAGATTCAAAGAAGGAGAAAAGTCTCTGAACAAATAGTTGTTTAAAACGACGACTAGTGTTGAAAGCAGGTTATTCTATAGTTACTATAAATTAAGTGGACACTTTGATTTGAAGACAAAAGGAAAGGAGACAATTTGAACAGTTATACGAGGATCACGACTGCATTCAGGTTGTACATTATCATGTGACAGTCACGTGTCGAAACTAGTTCCTATGGATTCTTGCCAGTGCTGCCCGAAGTCCTTGTGGACTAAGTCGCGCCGAGTGAACGGGCTAAAGTGACTATTTGGCACTGTCCAGCATGGACACATAATTGATAAGTCGATCAGCAGAGCAACGCAAACGTGTACACACGCATTCGAAACATATCGGCTCGTTAATGTGTAAGTTAGCACTTGTCTCTGCAGATACACTTACGAGTGAGAGCGAGAGCCGTGTAAGCAATACCTTATTCAATGGATAATCTGATCAAAACAAATCAATATTGAAGTTTTGCAATCATGTCTCGGTGTCTAGTATCAATATGCACTAATGCATGTCACATGCTTTCGCGTACTATGTTACCGCCAGACAGACTATAAAACTGTTACAGTATTATTTTTAATGGAGACATATATCTGTCAGGGCCGACGCAGCTTCAAACTTCAACAGGTTGCGAATGTTCACAACGTCCAACAGAGAAAGATGTATCACTTCTTGCCAACAGCCAACAAATGCTCTTCCCAATTCATATCAGACTGTGGGTTAACACCATTGGCGTATATGGGAAGTGAAACACCATCTCTCACCAGCTACTGCATAATAGAAGGCATTGGATCCAGGCCGGTGGAGAGCTCATCGGTATCACTACCAAATGTATAACATTATTTATCAATGTTGAATTGTTAACGTAGCATTACTGGGATGAGTATCAACTACGTGCCGTTGTGAACAGTACTCCAGTTATATTACGACATCGACGATTGATGTAGGAAGAAAGCCCGAAGTATTGCGTGTCTGGGGAGTGTACCATTTTGTTGAAAAACCTAGAAACATATTCAGGGCGAAGCGGGATTCGAACCCAAGATCATAGGTTTCTGGAACGCCCAAGGAACGCAACTCGTCCTACTTTCGTCCATTTTATCGCATGAACAACGTTTACGTGACTAACTTTTCGGTTCAAAGAGTACAAATTTAAAAACGACGAAAAATATATTCAGTTTAGGTCACTGCAACATGCTGCATTATATTTAAACGCTAATATTCCTGTTGACGCAAAATCATCTTTCAAGATTTAAATAAAGCACTTATACAGTAGCATAAACGGAAGAAACACCAATAGGAACTGCGATTATGTCCATTCAGTCTAAGGAAAGGAAGCAATCATGTTTCGAATTTCATTGGTCATTGAACATTACGCCACTCTGAGAAATACCTCTATAACCAAATATGTTTGATCATTATTTTGGCATTCCTTCATTGAAAGTAATGTCATCTGAAAACTATGATGTGGTATACAATACCTGTTTCGTATCTCAAAAACAAAGAAATGGCACTGTGCTGTGGGCCAGTTGTTTATGTGCGGAAATACATCTCCCTTCGGTGTATATAAATATCTGATCTTAATCGCCCTTTGGAATCTTGAATGCAGGGGCATATCTGGTATTTTGGTGTTATATACTAGTATATGGTCTACATTAAACGACTGTAAAAATTAAAATGCAGGACTCAGTATATCAGTATATTTTCCATATTCGAGAG